TGATCATTGCTCTGTACAGATTCCATTTTGAATTCAGAGTCGTCCTTCTCCTAGACTGGCTGCCAACCATGGCTTAGATCGCATCATCTGCTGAAGATGACTCGGTCTCCACCTGTGGCAGATTGTACAACTCACTGGACTCAAGAATTTCAGTCATTGTGTGTTTTATCTGGCCGACTAATCTCCATGTGTGACCAGGTTGCTCTTGGTTAATGGTACTTCGACTCAGTTGCCACCTCCAGATCCATTGCCAGCCAAGACTTCTATCTGACAATTGGCAGAATTGTCAACAGCTTTCAAACAGTTTTGTCTATGTAATTTCACTCAGAAAGCTTGGGCTAATGTATGGTATGGTTTTTGGGACACTTACCAACTCTGAGACTGTCTCCCCAGGACGAGATTATCAAGAAGTTCATTTCTTGACTTAATAGACCATGGTGAGATTTGTAACCCAGAAAATAGTCAAAATACTAAAAGTCTTATTATTCAACTCCACACCCACTAGTACTATTTAATCCATATCTGTGGTGGCAGGAGAAGAGATAGATGCAAAAGTGAACATGACAGGTTGCACTAGGCAGGAAAATTATAAACAAAGATAAAAACTAATTTGAAGACACAATTTTTTTTTTTTTTTAAGCATTTCACCCCAAGCAAGTCAGGAAGCCACTAGCATTCAAGCAGTTACAGAGAGTTGGAGCGAGAGCAAATAAGAGTGATAAAGGAAAGGATGAAGAGAAGGATAGGGGATAGATCAGGGCATCTGGAGACATCGATTGACATTACATTTGAATAGTTGAAGATTATAGCTATCAGGGAAACAGGAAGAGTGGAGGGAGTTCCACAGGCAAGAGGTGTGAGACATGAAGCTATTGGAGTAGAAGACATGGCTACATTTAACAGTTTCAACAGTGAAAGGGTGTGAGTGAGATCCAAGCCTAGTAGAACACAAATTCATGAAGTCTGGGAACCAGTGAAGGCAGCTCATTCGAGCAGTTACATGAAAGTATTTGTAAAAAAAGACAGAGGGAGGTGACGACATGTCTGTGAGAGAGCGACTGCAGACAAGATGCCAGATCAGGGAAGAAACAAACTGGGAGATTTTATTTTTAGACCAAGTTCAACAGATTTGACTTTTTATATCTCTTTAAGGAAATACCTGATATCTTAAAATATTCTAAGTCTGAAAATGTAGATCTTTTATTTACCCATTTTTAACCCTTCTTTGTTCTAGATGTGTATATACGTTTTTACCAAAATTGTCTTTTTCAGACATGAAGGAATAAACATATCCAAAACATAACGTTCAAAAACCAGCTACAGATGTCTTTATATATCAATCTTGATTCTTTTCATGACCTTATGAGCCTGAAATGAGTCCAATTGTCAACTCATGTGTCTGGTAGCAGCCACTTCAAAGGTGTTTCAGTTTTTTAGTTACTATATTAAAAACAAATAAAAAAATTTATATCAAAATGAAATATTTTTCCCAAAATAATTGGCAGGGAAGGAGTTAAAGTTTCATTAAACCAGGAATAATAATTGCAGAGTTTTCAGCAAAACCTGTCTTTATTAAAACCCACATTAAATGAAGTTAACAGTAATTTAAATGTTTAATTCTTGACTGGATATCAACAACATTAACAATTGGAATTTAAATAGCTTTGCAGCTGAGGAGAACAAGAATGGTTTCATTTAGCATAATTCTTCTATTACAAGGAACCTTTCACTTCAAGACAAGTCAATGTAACTGAAAAGAGATATTTTGTTTTAAGGTTTCTTATGGTCAAAATATATTTTGCTGTTACAATTCATGGTGACATTAGAATTAAGGCCTCAAGTTTCCACCACTGAAACATCTCATGGTAAATAATAGATGGCGTGGGGGGATTTTTCATGAGATTTTTTTCTACCTACTTTATTAAGATGACCCTATTTATCAATATTGCACTTTTTTGACCCCTAAAGTGATTTTCTGATTAAGACCCCTTCTTTATTGCATATTGAAAAAATTCTCTATCTTGTATTAGGCACCTGAGAGTAGTAGAGAAAAGCATTGGTTAAATAAATCAAGTTATTTAGCAGATCCAAGTTCAATCTCTGGGTATGAGTATTGCAGAAAATGTCATATATTGGACAAGAAACAAGTGATATTGAAAGGATGAATTAACTCTGAAGAATTAAATCATATGAATTTTCTCCCTGAGTCTAGGAAGCTGACTGAAAACAATTTACCCACCATGGATTGAATTCAACTGGACTCAAAACTTGATGGTTAAATTATTGTGACTATTACAATCAAGATTGTTCTGATGATTTTTCCTCTTTTGTATTGTGGATGTTTACAAGGTTGTGGGGTTTTTGTAGGTGAAGGTTCTTGGTCAATATGTAAAGAAAGAAAATGTAGAAGAAGCATACAAGAAACTTGTGTTTTGCTACAGGTGTTTATTCTTTTTATTCTGACTATTGAAACAAAGTTAAAAAGTCCCTTGAGTATGTCCATTTTCCTTTTTGGTTCTGAAATAATTTATGGGAAGCAAGGATACGAAAAGGCAAACATGGTCAAGCTCAAGTCAGCTTCATGCTGCGTTGGAAAGGCTGAACCTCTACTTTATGAGTAAGGCTGTTAAAACACGTCTGAAAATATTGTTGGTAAGGGGAAAGAGTTCAATCATCAATGAAACAGAGAAACTAACATTCCAGAATGCGAATGCTATTACTATGTTCACATCTTGAAGCCAAAAGGAGAAAGAGGAATAGTCTGAGGAAGTGTGCTCATAAAATCGCACATGTGACCAGAAATTATTTTCAGGTTCTTTATAACTTGCATCATGGGAAAATTAATTTTAAAATTGTTTTTATTCATTGATATTATTTTATTTATTGGATTTATTTAATTTTCCCCATAGTATCTTGACTTCATGAATTTAAGCACAGAACTACACTGGTAGCTTGGTCTCAGAAGTTTACTGTTGGAATTGCTAAATTTGACCAGAAGTTTTATTCTAACAGTGTCTTCTCTTGCACTTCTCACCTATAGAACTTTCTTCCAACTTATTACTTTTCTGTAAACTACAATGTACCTAAATTTAAATGCAACATCAATTGCCAATTTCTGTTTCCTTAAATCTTGTTCTTTTTATTGTCTTTTCTACTCAGTAACAGTTCTCTTCACTCTGTTGTCTTTCATTCTCAACAAGTCAGAATGGCTTTATCACCTTACCTGGGTTAAAACAAATTAAAAGAAAATCTTATATTTTGAGCCATTCTGCTATATAATTTTTATGTAGCTTGGTGATCTCTTTTATAAGTATCTTTTAATATTTTGTTTCACTTTTCTTTTTAATTTAAGCACAGCACTAGATTGGCAACAATGTTTCGTCATTTTACATAACTTGATATAATTGTTCTTTTCTAACAATTTCTTTTCTTGCACTTCTTGCTTGTTGAATGTTTTTTCAGCCAACTTTGATCTTCAAAAATTTAAATACAATATCAATTGTTATCTACTTGATTCCTTTTCTTTTATTATCCTTAATAATGTTTCTTTCTTATTCTTTCACATGCATTAAACCCTCGTGTCTTAGCAGATGTATTTCCTTGCTTGGTGGTGAAATTAGTAAAAAAATAAAATTTATCTAATCCCTTTTAAAGCATTTGTTGTTTTCTCTGTTCATGAATTTGCTTGATAGTTGAAGCTTTTGCCGCCAACTAATTTTTCATTGATTTATATAACCACTTTTCTACCCACAATTTCCTGATTTTATTTTTTACCATCCATTATTATTATTATTATTATTATAGGTAGCACCCATTACAATTCTTTTACACATTCCACATTGACAACTTCTATATGAGCATGAGAGAGGGAATTTCAAGTAAGTATCAAACACAAGGACACTGTGTAAATAGTTTTTTTCTTTTTTGTTGTTTTGTTTTACTTATGCTGCAAAGTCCTAATTAAATCTGTTTTTAAAAACAAAAACAATCTCTCTTTGAGAAAAGCAATTCTGTCTACACAAGTAAATCCCACAATTGGTCATGTATTTGTTCCACACTATGTATCCCATACATGTAGCCTTAGACCAAACAAAGCTAAGCTTTTTTTTATATTAAATTTCACCTAACTCAAGATACACTCAAATCTAGAGAAATGCTGTTAAAATTGTTATGATGAATGAGATGCATGACATGAATGAAATTATTAGGCTAAAAAGGATAGACAATAACTGACCCTTGACATGAAGATGTTAAGATTGTAGTGTTTTGGAAAGCACCCGCACTGGAATCTGTTCCACACAGTGGCAGATCTTGGAGGAAAAAAAAACAGCTTAATTGGGACATTCTCCTTTTATTTGGAATACAGAGGGAATGAGTGTTATTAAACTATACTGAAACAAAATGGCATGACTTTGTTGTAAAGGTCTGAACTGGTGGATATAAAAAAGGCAAATAAAAACTATAACGGGCAAATAAAGCTAAAACAATTTACACCTCTGACACCTGCTATAAAAACATCTTTTTCCAATGAGAATAAAACTAAATTTAATTTGTTAGTTTTTATTAAAAGAAACATTGGAATGGGATTTGCAAGTTTTCAAATCTCAGAAGTAATGTCCAATTCTTGTACAGATTCAACAAAACTGTGACATATGCAAGAATGAACAAAATAAAGAAGAATAGAAAAGATTTGCATCATTTAAATATAAATTAATTGTCTGGATATTCTGTAGCCTTAGCAGATAAGAGAGCAGATGATATAAAGAAGCTGTAACATATATACACCAGAAACAAAGAAAAAAAGAGCTGTATTATCTATCTTCTTACATGACTGTGAATGCTGGACAATCTCCCCATGGATGAAGAAAAAAAACAGAAGCCGGAGAAATGTTTTTCTACAAAAGGATACTGAAAATTCCATGGACAGAGCGATTAAGCAACAAGGATGTCTAAAAGAATATAGCAACAGAAAGAACACTTTCACTCAGAATCAGGCAGCTTATGGTCATATCATGTTGAAACATTGGTTCTCATATGATCACTGAAGTTAAGCAATATCAAACCTTGTCAGTACCTAGATGGATGACCGTTTGGGAATGCTAAGTGCTGTAAGCTTGGATGTGCAGGTGGTGTAATGGATAATGACTTGGAAATCGGAGAGCTGGGTTCCAATTCCAGTCACATTCTATAATATTCACTTAAGTGCAAATACCTTTGGGAAAGGTATGAATTCACCTCTCCTCCCCCTAGCTATGGGTTAATTAGTAGGACTTTTCTCAGTAAATCATTATTATCTCTAAAAATTCTTACAATCCAAAAATATTTTCTGGTTTTAAATAATCTGTAAAATGTTAATAAGCCATAAAAAACAAAAAAAAACAAAAACAAATCAATCTATCAGAAAAAGGTAGCTTAAATTCCTTGGACACATAATAAGGAAAGATAGTTTGGAAATCTCAACCCACAGTGCATATTGAGGGTAAGAGAGATAGGGTAAGGCAGCAAGCCCTGATGAGTTTGTGTGAATGAATAGTGGTGCAGGAGCCTTAGCAAAGAGAGAAAAGCTGCTAAGAGTCAAAGGGATAGGAAGTTGTGGAGTTCTGAACCAGAAAGAAATGAAGTTTTTTTTTATGTGCCATGTCCTTTCAGGACATAGGCAATCATGGCTCTCCACCTCTTCCTCTATCCCTTGCAGCTCTCAGCAAGTTCCTTCCTTCCTGCTTCCTTCCCAGACCACGTTCTGTCATCCACCTGCTCAAGTTCACTAGATATGTCACATGCTGCTTTCCCTTGTCTTTCTTTCCTCCTATCCGACCGAAGAGTATCAGATTCTCAAGGCCCTACTTCCTAATTATGTGTCCCAGAAACCTCAGCTGCCTCTTTCTGATGTTAAGTACAAGGCTTCTCCTTGTTGGCATCCTAAGTCCTCATCATTGCTCGCACAGTCTGTCCATGATATCCTTAGCATCCTTCTATAGAACCACATTTTCATTGTCTTAAGTCTCTTCTTCATCTTTGAGGAAATCATCCAGCATTTGCTGCTGTAAAGAAGAACAGATGTCACATAACAGCTCAGTATTCTTTTCTTTGTTACCAAAGAAATCCTCCTGTCTCATAATACTGTAGCCATCATCTGGAATGCCTTCTTGGCCATCCCAATACATCTACGGATCTCAGTGTCACACTTACCATCATCTTTCAAGACGATTCCCAGATATTTAAACATCTGTATCTGCTTGATTCTAGGTTTTCCGACCTGCAAATCACATTTCAAGCTCTTCCTCTTACTGATGACCAGGCATTCTGTCTTCTTGTAGTTTATGCTTAGTCCTTTCTTCTCGCTTTTCATCGCTACCTTCTGTAGGAGATTTCGTAGTTTCTTTTCTGTGTCTGCTATCAATACTGTGTCATCTGCGTATCTTATGTTAGGACAAGAATAATAATATAGATATGTTTCTTTGGTGAATATTGAAAAGGTTAAGTTGAACAATGAGGTACAATTTTCATTAAACTTTAAACAAAGATATTCAGAATAATACTTAAGTGAAGCCAAGAAAATAGTGTTTCATTTTTTAATCATTTCAACTGAAGCAAGGTGATAAAGCCACTAAGATGCAAGCGGTTACTGAGGATGAAAGACATTGTTTTAAAAATATTTTTCATCCTGGTTTATTCATGCATCTATAATTTTGTATAAAATGAAATAGTGAAAAAAAAAAAAAGAATTTACAAAGATGGTGATGAAATTTAAATTTAATTTTTATTGTTTTAAATGTGATGAATATGTGAATATTATTAACAGAAATAATTAAAAGTATACCTAGATGACTAATTAAAATATTAAAAATAAACCTCATAACATTTTTAATTTTAACCTGTATTTTACAATTTAACCTGTAAATTAGCATAGATACATCATTTTTCAAAAATAATTTCACCCTAAGCAAAGCGATAATGCCATCAGGACACAGGGGGTTCACAAAGAGTGAAAGAGAAAGAGAAGACTTTAGTTAAGTAAGGAAAAGGACAATAAAGAAACATGTTCAGGAAGAGAGGAGATGGTAACTGACATTGCATTTAAATTTTGGAAGAATTTTTAAAAACCTGGTCAGTAACTAAATGGGTGACAGCATTGGAATACCAGTTTGGATATGCAGGTGACGTAATAGATAACAGTTTGAAAGTATTTATTGGAGAATCAAGTTTCAATTATAGTCAATTTTGTTATATTCACACGCTCAAATACTCTTGGGAAATGTACAAACCCATCTCTTTTCACTCCAGCTATGGGTGAGTTAGCAGGACTTATAAAAATAATTATTTTTTTCCCCAGAAGATTCTTACAAACTAAAAGTGTTTTCTGGTTTTAAATAACTTGCAAAAAGGTTGGTAAGCCGTAAAAAAAAAAAAAAAATCAATCAAAATCTAAATGTTATTTTAGCGGATGCCCACATTTGAGTAAATGCACAATTCATTTTTTTTTTTAAACCAGCATAAATTATAAATTTTGTACATTCAACAAAATCTGCTCACTGGCAGGGTCCAAACCTGCAACCCCCTTTATCAGAGAAACCACCATTTGATCCAGAATGCTTTAGGTCATTTGGCTACAGAGAGCATCACAACCCAGCAATGTTCAATTACCTTCTTAAGGAATGCAAATGCTCTCATTCAGATCTCCGGGGAAGCCAATATCTGCTTTTTTCATATTTAAAATTTAAACAAAGCAATTCCTAAGGAATTTTCCAACATGCTATTTTGTACTGAAATCCTCACAGTAATTTCGCAAATCAATTGATAAAATTTGAATAAGCTGATTTGCTTGGAAAAATTCTTTGACAAAAACACTACTTTTTGGTTTAATAATTTCTTTAATTTAATTTTATAGGACTTCATGATAGACAATATTTTTTAAGAAAATTCCTTTTCCTTTTTAACAACAAAAAATAAATTCTTAGGATTTCTTATTCTTGTAACATCCAACTGGCTATGTGTAAATATTTCTTTCTGGGTCCAAATTCCAACTTTTTGAAGCACTTAGCCTTGTGATTTGTCTATAGTTCTTGTAAACACAGGGTGAACTGCAGACTGGATTCTTGTATATAAAATACTTTTAAAAATTGTAAAAAAATAATGCATTATCATTAAAAATGTACTTGTTATTTTAATCAATAAATGAATAAAAATTTACTGTACTAAGCCATGTACCTAGTAAAACTAATGGTACTTTGTACCCCACTTAACTGCTTTCACTTCTCTCCAAAATTTGGTTTTGATTGGTCAATGTAGAGCTGTTTTAGAGTGTGTGATGGAGAGATGGACAGACTAACAGAAGTCACAGAATTTTATATAATACATATTTTCAGTCTGAAATTACTTCATATTACTCTAAATGGTATTTTTATGGATTACTTTAGTTATTTTAGTTTGGATTAATATGCTGAGAATAACATGGACCAAACATGTGAGCAATGTTGAAGTTCTAGAGATAATGGCAACAGAAAGGACATTTATACTTAATATCAGTAAGAAACAGTTGAAGTTTCTGGGACACATAATGAGTATGGAGGACTTGGATACTCACAAGGCAGCATAAAGGAGATAAGTAAGACAATGGAAATGCAACACACACAACTGACCTGGCAAAGTCAAGTGAATGGACAATGGAGCAGGGTATGAGAGAGATGGCAAAAAAGACAAATGTTATTAAGAGCTACAAGGGGCAGGAAATTGTGGAGAACCATAATCGCCAACATCCTGAATGGACACAGCTCATACAAGAAGAATAAGTAATGTGAAAATGAAAATAAAATTCATTAATTCCTTAGAAATATATATGTGTGTGTATATATATATATATGGTATAAAATGACAATTGGAAAAAATGCGTTTCGTCTTCCAACTTTTCCAAGTCAAAAATGAAATTGAAATGTTTTTGTTGTTATAGTTACATTAAAAAAAAAAAAAAAAAAAATCAAAATTTAAAAATTTTGCCTTGAAAAATTCAGATGAAATGTGTCGGCAAAATCTAAGATTTTTTCCAATTGTCATTTTATACCAATCTGTCTTGTCCACAGAATTGGTCTGGGAATTTATATATATATATATATATATAGTGTGTGTGTGTGCATGCATATGTGTGCTTATACAGGGTGTATCAAAAATACTTTTACAAAAAATGGGGGTTGGTTCATCACCAAAATGAAGACAAAAGTCCATATAAACATATGTCTGCAAATCCTTCATTTTTGAGTTATTAAGATTAAAGAAAGTTTACAGTAGATGGCACTGTGTTGACATGTAGACTAGGTTACATTTGTCATTCATGTACATTTGTGGCTAGTCTGTCAGGAAGCTGTGGTTGAAGTCAATGACATTTTATTGAATAAATTTGCTCTTTAGTATTTCAAGATATTTTTGTGTAATTTTGGTAAATATATCTGTTTAGATGAGATGTCAGTGTTATTTTCATTTTTGCATAATTTAGATGACTATATATATATATATATATATATATATATATATATATATATATATATATATACACACACACACACATGATCTATTAGATAGCACATTAAATGTGTATTGAATGTTTTCACACTGTGAAGAGAAAAAGTAGCCTTGTCATTTCTACTGGAATAAAACTACTTCTCTCAATACCACCTTGAAATTGGCACCAAACATTTGCACCAATGGGAACGATTGCTGAGACACTTTCTTACCAGCATTTTAGAGCCTATGTCAAAATGTAAATATGACAACTCCAACTAACATAACCAGTGGCAATCTCACCTTCCCAACAGGTTGAGAGTTACTCATTCTGTCACTCAAATATATTTCCTTCATTTTACAGTTTCATGTTGTAGCTTCTCTGTTCAGCTGTTCCTCAATGCACATCAGATGAACTTGTTCATTAAGCAAGCAAGAACAGACTTGAAATTAAATAGTAATGGTGAAATTAACCATTTCCATACAGGAAAACTTTGACATTTATTGACTGAACAGTTAGAACTACTGTTGGTTGATATCTATAAAATCTTTCTCTCAAAACAATTTTTTTTTTAATAAATCAGGTATCTCAAGTTCAGTTGCTGCCATAACTCTTTCCAC